ACTTGCGTAGGTAAGTTATTAGCGTTGCAATCATTCGAACAAATCGAACAAGAACGAATGCTGCTAATAAACATATACATTTTATTGATACAATCCTAAGAATAATAACTTGGTTGATAAATATACAGTTTTTACGATAGGAAGAAAAAAGCAACGTGGCTTTCCTGGATCCAGGTGGACTGATTAAACATCATCCATTCGTCGAAAATATTTTTTTTTATAAAAAAAATTAGCATAAGCCTTTGTACTGTAAAACACAGGCATATATAGAAGGTTAAAGATATCAAAAAGGAAACGTCGGAGTTTTCTTACCAGCTTTGAATGACTGCTAAACATAATTTCGTATTTCCAGAACCGCAGTGCTCAGCCGTACTTACAAAAGTACATTATTAACTAAGTGCATAACAGTTCAAAACTTCATCGTATAATAACCAATTAACATTGAGGCACACGGTGAGTTCATCAGCAAGGCACTCTCTCAAAAGCTAAAATTGAGCGTGAACTCCGCCTCGTTAAATATATACCCATACCAAGCAACTAATCATTATGTGTGTCTTGTTCTATCATACGCACATACTTTATTAAGAGAACATTATAACTGGCTGAAATATAGCTTCACCAGATATCAGGCCAAAGCTTCGTACGACAGACAAGTCGGCCAGTTACCAGAGATTAGCGAGACAAGAAAAATCGCCGATCTCATTTCAGCACCTTGTCCATACGGTTTCCACATCTATCAGGTTGCGCCTGGTAATTATTTTGCTAGCCTCAATGCTTTAAACCATTTCTGCAACAGGCCCACACAGACATGGCTAGCAGGCACAAATAACGAATGCTACCTCAGCGCCGGTCTTCTCGTAGGCTTAATGGATGGAACAGGCCGTGTACACAGACAAGCGGATATGTCTCTCGATCGTCTCTCTGTTGTGTCCATTCGACACTGTATGCGGCTGGCCTGTGCCCTGTCCTTGAATAGAAGTTAATTGAGTTAAATCGTGCGCTTCAAATCATCCCGCGCTTTGCTTGCATCAACAATCTTTCAAAACCGCCCAACTATCGGGTGCTAGAGCCACAGAACACCACTGGCGCTACAACCGACGGCAACTGCCGAAAACAACTCGATGCTGTGTCTATCTGCGCTGCATTGCTGATCTTAGTCGGACCCATCACGATCAGTCCGAACTAACAGATCCATCCTAGATAGATTTTGGACGGAGGGGGGAATACGCTCGCGACCACCAGCCCCATCTTCGAAGAGAAACATTGGTAGAGTACTTTGGCGCCAAATCTCGAACTCGGTTCATTCTGTACTGTCTGTTGTGTTTCACACTCACTTGAAAAACCTGTTCGTCGGAACCTGCCACGGCCATCGGCTTCGTATGCGAACACCAATGGCTCGAAGTAGATTTGCGTAGATCCACACATCAATAGAGTTGCACAGCCAGAGTCGCGTCCATGCAGCCTTTCCGCGCTGTGCAGTAGAGGAAGATCAACACTGACCGTGCCATAAAGAGACTATCAGCGATTCGGCAGAAAACACTGCTTCCATTAGAGCGTGGGAGAGTGTCCAGGCTTTGGCTACCAGGACAATCCGCCAGAAACCCCACAAATATCGGCGAATATTCAGGGACAATATATATTCAAGGACAGAAAGCTCAGGCGTATGATTTTGCCGCGAACACATTCCGGTGTTTTTTGAAGCATTTTTGGTTCAGGCCTGCGTTTCGGCAGGTTTGTAGGACATCGGCAATTGCCAGCCGCCGGTCAATTGTCCTGCGACCAATAAAGAAGATAGTTTGTTCCCAATGTTGCTTCTCTGGTTTAGCCATTTTTTGCTTACCGCTTACTTAGACACTATTTTTGAACTGCTTCTATGCGATGATCAGCAGTCGGAGCAGGGTTTAGGCCTTTGCGCGTGTCTTACTACCATCAGAGCGTCCATTTCCCTCCGTCGGTCCGCCGATTACTACCAACCACCGAAAAATAGTGGAGTTATAAATCTCTGCACAGGTTTCTAAATATGTAAAATTGATATCCACAAACAATCCTCGGGTCGTACGGACCAAAAATGCGGTCTTTTTAATAGTAATGGCAGCTCGCACAGACGATCCGAGCCTGTTGTTTAAAGAAAAGTAGGCCAGAAAGGCAAATAAAAACGACGTTGGTTATGTTGGTTAGAAACAGAAAATTGATGATGAATTTCAAAAAATCTATCTGGGACAAGACTGTAAGTTGTATGCGGTCTAGCTGGCGCCTAGGTAAACTCTCAATTTGGCCCCCAGTACGGATTAAATTTTTCGGTAATTGAGAACACGATTGAAATGCACGAGTTTTATTTTTTTATTCAGTCACATCTGTCGTGTAGTTTACGTACGTTCAAGAATTTAGCAGACTACGTCATCGCGCCGACAACCAGACGAAAATGTATTGAAAGCAAACGCTTGGACGGAGAAGCGATTCTGCCATATCGTATAGACATATGGACGGGGCGCTGTATTTAGAGAATGAGAAAGCCGTAAAGCCTCCAGATATTGTCTTGTTCTCAAAGCAATTGAACGACCTTTTTCCTTGTTCTCTTCTGTTGCCTGTATTTGTATCCGTACAACGTTTCTGGTCGTAGACCTGATTCTATCCTTTTCGATCCTAATTTATGGTTAGTTCGATCCTCCAAGTCAATGTTGTTAATTATTTTCCTATAACAATTGTAAGAAAACTCTTTACATACCTATGCTCCACCAACTACATATGATAGACCACAAGGATGAATAAATCCAGAACGTATTCAAGCTATAGGTGTATGAGAATTCTGATTAACAAGAGAAGTTGTGTTGTATAATAGCAGACGAGGAGAAACAAATCCCAAGTCAGCGTAAACCGACTTAGCTGTCCCTAATGATCTGATAATTATATTACGTGGCGCAATGTTTTTATTAATTAGCCATTTGTTGGATATGCATCCTACATCCGTTTACCTAGCATAAATTTGTTCTTTTAACATTAGCCTCCGCTATAGTTGCAGGAATTGACCGTTTCTCTTCACATGGCAGGCACCACGATGCCATCTAGGAAATGGCGTACCGCTGTCACTACGCCATGCTTGGAATGAAATTGTTGCAGAGTAAATTTTAAACAAACAGTTTAAAATTTACTCTGCAGAGCTAAATGAAAGTTCACAGAGAGACACTTCAAAAGAAAACACATTAATCACTGACAAGTACTTAGCTTTTCAAATATTCACTGGCAACATGATTTTTGCAAGCTCCACAACGATTTTTGGATTATCCTGTACTACCACTTCATTTAAAATTCCCTTCTATATAACAGCGAGATTAAGTTATAAAATAGCTTATCAATGAAAAATAATTATAAATTATTATTTTCGTTTAATTTACTCACACTGCATAACAAAATATCAATATTTAAGCTTTTCAATAAGGCCCTAAAAAACATGCGGGATAACATCACTTATAAGACAATTGTGTGAGAATTTCGGCATCGATTCTAGGTGTAATCTTTAACCACGTAACAAACAGTAATGTAGACCATAAGGCAGATATTTGCTTCTATTCGGGTTTATCTAAATTTGTTTAAATGGACTTATGGACTGAGGCTGAACAGATTTAAAAAAATTGTTACCATTTTATTCTGTCTAAATTCTAAGTCATATTACATCTACAGCAGAACGTAAATATCCCAATAACATTCAATTCCATTACTTTTGTCAGTAATTAGATAGACGCCCAGATAGCGTTTCAGCGCTGCGTGCACTAGTCTAGGAGAAATGCATTATGGCAAAACCGCGCACAAAACTCGAACTAATTTTTCATATTTTTTTGCACGATATTGATAAATCTGTATTGATTCTTATTCAACTGCCCGGTAAGTTCAACGCTTGTGGTCGTCATTGCTTGTTGGATCATGCTTCACAGATTTTTCAATAATAAAATGTACTTATAGCCCACTTGGGAATGAATGACGTGGTGTTTTGATTACGCGTGGATTTGTTTGCATCACAAATGTTTATTATTATTTATATATTTATAATTTAATTTAAAAAGCTGCTGCTAGAAACAAATTAGAAGATATTAGGAGACTTATTTTACATTCGATTTTATTCAAATAGAACTTGGTCCGAAGGTTTTAACCCGCTTCATCCCAAGTACTTTCAGGCTTTGAGTGCACTCAAAAAGCGGCAGCGTTTAAAAAAACACAGTTTAAGAAAACCGCAATGTGATGTAATTCTGTTTCTATTTAGTGTCCCTTGTTTTTAATAATAAAAGCTTACTCGAACTTCCTCCTACCTACATGCTCATAAGACAACATTTCTGTATATAAAGATGATAGGGTTAATGACGAACCAAGAATAGATTCTGATGTTGGCGAAGCTAGCAAAACGTTCTTAATGATAACCGTTATAGATATTGTGTAAGAAATAAATCTTGAACATTGCGATTTTAATCAATTAGTATGTTGTGACCAACGCAGACGACCGCATCATTGAGATGGAAGATTTTATGGTTGTGTCTACGTTGCAGCATTATTTAGCGATAGTATTGGATACTTTAGTGTAGCTTGCGTATAGATCTTTTTCCGTTCAGTAAAGTATTAATAAATACAACTTGTAAATAAAAATAAAAATAATTTGCTGCTATGATTTTTTTAACACCGTTAGTAATATTATTTTGGTTTAAACGAATTTTATAGACTCTCGTACGGTGCCGGAAGTCCGTAACGCATCACTATCCACGCCATTTTATAGAAAAAAAAAAAAAAGGCTAACATCCATCAATCGCTACTATCATCCATGATTATTTTTGCTGCACAAAAACTATATTACATAATAAATATTTTTTGTTTACGAATATGGCCCTAATATAGTAATGCAGTTCAAATAATAAGGGTCTTCATGCCTTGCGAAGCGGTAGAATGCCTTTAACTGATATCCATCAAATCTCTGACAGACACATTATAGCCTTTTAGTTATCTCCAACGATGGCTCCGGTCAAGCTCGAATTTTACCTGTTTGAATGTCACGCGCGCGTCGTCTGCATCCCTGCGCGCTTCTATCGTTGCTGTGTCCACCATCAGCCTCATGTCTTTAATTTTGCGCGCCAAATGTTTTAGCATTACTGCTTTTTAAAAACAACGTAAACAAGCAGGACCAAGAGGAGATCGAGCCACACTGTGAATAAGGGATGTAACCTGACTGCGGCTACGATAAAGAACAAAGATTCTAACTACTGTTTTTACCGGCAATACGTGAGTGTGAATAGCGTGTGTTTGGTTGTGGGATAAACCTACTGGAGGACGCGGATGTCTTACCCTTGTTGAAGCGAGGGTCCAGCATTTTGTGGTGTAGAAGACTGGCTTTGTGAAGTGAGGATATTCGATTCGTGTTGAAGAAAACTGGCAAATTTAACTGAGTAAAAATAACATTCGAATTAGTGTGTTACTGGGCGAAAAAATAGAAAAAGTTCACCAATATGGGAGATACTGACTCTTTGCCTTTCAAAGTAGAGTATGCCAAATCAAGTCGAGCCTCCTGTAAAAACTGCTCCGGAAGCATAGCTAAGGAAGAGTTGCGACTTGCAACTGTTATTCAGGTTTGTGTTGTTAACTAAAACATAGATATATCGTCGTCTTTAAGGTACTGCAATGTGAATTCAATTAATATAATCTATTATGAATAAATTGTACTTAAACTAGATATATTTTGCATACTATAATTGTTATTGTAATAATATATATAATATAACGTTATTTATAGCAGTTATTTACATTAAAAGGATAGTAATATAGTAATGTAAATATGTAATTTGGCCAGGAGTTTTCAACATAGAGAAGCCAGGCAAAATCATTCCTTATAGAAAGTACCATAACTTATCTGACGGATTTTCGAGTTTTTTTGAAAGGCACGGTTGAAACTGGTGGGGCAGTTCATAGTACTGAAAATATACATAATGTATTTTCTGAGGCCTCATCTGTAAAAGAAAATGTTTAGTGTTTCGACGGTTCTGATCTTCAGTAAAATTAAGTTTATATATGCTAATAGGGCTTAGATGACAAAATTTTTGCATGGTTGAGTGCGATGAGCGTCGATGTACGTTACTGGAAGATTACGTAAAACTTCTTTTATTAGTATAAGATACCTGGTTTATTTTTGTCTGTTTAATTTGTTTAAGATAAGCCTTAGCTATGCCGATGTGCGGATTTGTTTCCTTTAAACCATTCTATTCAGAAGTAATGACAAGGAGCTATGATTAGAGAAAAAAATCTTCGGTCAAAAGACTTTTGTGGAAACTGAGATTGAATAGTAATTCTTACTCTGTTTTGATTCAAATTAAAGATGAGTCGTAGCGATGTGGTGTACGGTACTTCGTTGATATTATTGGGTAATGGTCTTGCGTATATGGAAGGAATTTTTACATAGTTAGTAGTTTGGAGTAGTACCTTTGAATATCATAAGTACCCTACTGATATCAAACACCAAACTTACGATAAGTTTGGAATTAGCAAAATGAGGTTAAAAATGTTGTAGGAGTTGGTTTTGAAGGCTTTGAAATCAAATCTATTTTAAGTTTAATAGAAGTCGATTCCTGTCGCAATTTCATGCACTTAGCTTAGTTTTCAAGAATTGGCAAATACAATCATTATTGAGTTGTTAGTAATTAACAGTAATTTCCTATTTTGTAATTTCAGTCCCCTAAGTTTGATGGCAAGATTACAAAGTGGTTCCATTTCAAGTGTTTCTTCATCAAGAACAGACCAAAATCTACAGGTGACATCGACGGATTTTCCAATATAAAGTGAGTTTCATTTATGTCGTGTTGTTTCCGTTTTTCTAATTAAGCTTTGTGTTTCTTTTTTGTACTATTAATCTGAACATAGTAGTTAGTGGTTTCATACTCGGACCCTCTTGCCGCAAAAAGATTAAAGCCGTTAAAGTAGGTATCAGAAAATATTGCTCGGGGTATTAGTTGAAGCCTAAAAATATCATTGCCAGCTCCTGGAGGAGCTACAAGCCAACATATTGTCTTTAAATAAAAACTTATGATATGGTACTTTGCGACTTGAATTTCCGTAGGACAGTATCCGGATTTGAAGATCAGTTCCTAGGTAATATAGCCAATGGCGGAGCGTCCAAGAGAAAGTCTGCTAAAATAACGTACTTGACTGCACGAAAAAAACACACAACTTGAAAGTTCTGTTTTTTAGTTATGCAGTATTCGCTTTATTTTTATTCAACAATCATTTATATGTGTTTCACGTTTGTTTTCTAATTGGTAAAACTGCCTAAAACATGCTTGTACGTATATGGAGTTCTATATAATGGTGTACAGTTCACAGAGGCAACGCTTTAGAATTGATCCTAAGCTCACTGCTACTGGTTGATTGGGAAATTTGCATTTTCTTTAGAAGCTCATATATTTAAACGTTATCACATTTGCATCAAATTTAACTTCTTTAAGAATCGTTTATTCTGATTGGCCACAATAGGAATAGGTGTATAGGAAGGTAAATTTTAGTGATAAAAACCGAGTCGTATTCGTGAGCTAATTAATGAAATAACGATAAAGATGTGTTATCAAAACGTTCGTAATCAATCTGTAAAGCAATTTTTTATTATGCAAGATTGGTTGCGTAACGATAAAAAGCTAGATTCGTGTTACTGTTGCAAAGGCGCATAAACGTCCTGTCAAGCAATGAGTCTTATCAAGCAGTGAGGATACGATTCGTTTAGCGTATACGTTCAATAATCTCTTACGGATTCTAATTACGAATCACCGCAATTATATACACAAATGTCAAAACTATTATAATTCCACCATATTCCTAACTGCCTGTCGTTTTTATAACGTGGTGACAATACTCTAACTTTTCACATAATACTCGGCCGTCTCCAAGAAGCTTTTTTGTTTGCCAACAGTCTTGTTTCCTCTCAAAGACGTAGTTTAACTCAAGAGCACCTCAATAAGCGGTCGACAACCTCTTAACAGGCATCTTTAGCTTTGTTCACCCCGCAATTTAATAATGCTTTACGTATTTTCTAATCGGTTACTATTGTATTTTTGCGACGGATGCCATTCGGGACACCACACCCAACTGACTTCCCGCTATACATTATGTGAGGAAGATTTCAGTTTAGACACGGATATTATTATCATAACTTCTGCGATTTCTGTAATAGATATGGATGCGAAATATGAATTTCGCTGAGTTCTCTCGACGAGCACTATGCTGCTTCCCTTTTCATTTGGGTGTGCTGGTCCTCGCTGTACAAAAAAAACCTGTTCGCTATTTTCTTGTCCCGGCATTTTGCCGTTTCGATCATTCCCATTCTTCATCGCTTCCGCGTGACTTCACCCACAATAGGTCAATCTTGACTAAATATTTCTGCGACTTGTCTGTCCCTTGCCGGGTGCTCATTCAAGTCTAATTAAACTGCAGAAGGAAAGCGATTCGTCTTGCCGGCCCCAAGGTGTGCGCATTGTTGTAACTGACTTGGGCTAACTCCCATGCTGATCAATCAGGCTACTATTGTCTCCTTCAGGCACAATTCGCAGGCTCTTGCAGTATCTGTCTTTTATAAATTCGATCCTTTGACCTGTATTATTGTCGATGGATTTTCAGTCAATCATGGAGACAGAGCTGCGGTATTTTGGTGATATCTGCTATGTACCGAGTTTAATTTCAAAACTTTGAAGTAACTGGGAGGACTTTTCGGGAAAAGCGGTTCAAAGAAACTAATTTAGAATTAGAAAGAGATCTTTGGAAGCTTAGGGGTGACGCAAAATAAAGTGAAATAATTTGCCAAATTCTCTGAGCCCGTCGCCCAATTTGCTGGTATCCTAGAAATAATGCTGCTCTTGTCAAAAAAGCTGATCAAACATCACGTATTATGAGAAAGGCAATGAATACCGTATGATCGAGATCGAAAATACCTTGAGGCCATCGTGTCCACGCACTCGGAAGACTTTGGGTGCTCTAGAGAATATAACCTATTCTAGTGGCGATGAAAACTGCATCCACACCGTACGACCGTTGCACGCCGATGAGTGATCACTACTAAAATTATTGCGTTGCAAAAGCCGATCTGTTAGAGGTTATGAGTGCGGTTGATTTTTGTAGGATTTAGAAGTGTCGCCCCGCAACTCCAACGCTGAGAAATCCAAACTCATGGTGTAATAAGCTAACAATTCAAGAGTCCATCATAGTGCAGTTTAAGCTAGTTGATTCTAAAGGTGTGAGCTCGTAACGATGTAGTTTACACGCGAGAACTTTCAAGAGAGGTATTTATAAGCCATTGAATGTGAATAGGTGATGGTATACATATTACCCATTGGAGTCCGGCACACGTAATCGGTTACACTTACAAAACTTGTTCTTAGCCTTAATTATATCTGGGGCATCGCATGAAGTAAGTTGGCCGGAAGATACTAAACTCGTAGAGTACAAATAGCATTCGATAATTTGTTTATTGAGCGGCGATCAATGGATCTTTAAAAAGATCGAACTTAGTTTTCTCTAGTATTGTTAGTTCGTTGAGGAACTTCATTAAATGACAGAGTTAAACGGGCGTAAATTTTCCTAATTATAGATCGATGCAATGTTGCACTCGCTTATTTTTCGGATGTGTGGCTGTATTGATGAAAGGCTCAGTATATGTACATATATGCATATCGTTTTTCTTTAGGTGGCTATTTTTTTTTTTTTAGGTTCAATGATCAAAAACTTATCGAGGAAAAGGTCGGCTCTGGCGGAGGGACGGCTGCAGTAGCCGGTAAAGAAAAGGTATCAACGAAGGAGAAAAAAAATGCCACCCAGGAGTATTCAGTCGAATATTCCAAAAGCAGTCGAGCAGCCTGTCGCAGCTGTGAGGAGTTCATTGCTAAACGTAGGTAACACATTCCCGTGATGGTGCAACGGCATGCTTGTTTACGAAACTACGAACATTAGGTGAAGTAGTCTGAACCCTGAACTGCGTGTAGACAAACACATGATTCGTCTCCTACTTCAAGCGACCAACTTTCTGAAACAGTGCTTAACTAAGGCAGTACCGGATGAAATGGTAGAAACATTAACATTTAAAAATGAGTAACTTATCTAAATTAAGTTTCTTTTTCTGTTTTTATTTTGAAAAGAATTTCAGTGTATATAATTATACGGAAGACTTCTTGTACTATCTGCGATCAAATGTTAATCAATACCAGAACAGCACGTACTCTACAAACCGAAGTCGATAACCAGAAAGAAAAAGAGATTTAGAAAAAGTCTACAATATTTTTTGATATAAATTTTTCTTTGTACACTAGTTAAAAAGCCCATTTAGCAACATCGGCAGGTGCAGATAATCAGATTCTTCTTCTGTGATTTACTACACTTTTTGAACAGATCAAGTTCGAATTTCGAAAATGGAATACGACTCTGAAAGAGCTCGCTCTTACGGACCTTATCCTGGGTGGTATCATGTCGACTGCTTTGTGGCAAAACGTGAATCTCTTGGTTGGTATTTGCCTGGCACGGATCTGCCGGGATATAAATCCCTTGGAGTAGATGACCAAAAGATTCTTAAAGAAAAAATTAAGAAACTGTCCCCGCCCAAGTGAGTAGTAGGAAACATCTTGAAGTTATAGCACATATATGAAATATATTCTATTTTGGATGAGACATAGAGCTGTGAAATGCAGAAGATTTGGGTGATTAATTGTAAT